GACCCCAAAAATCAGGTGTGCTGATGACATCACAGTGACCTGATCTGAGGTCAGCGCCATCACTCTGTTCACAGACCAATGATCAGCTGTAAAAACCAAAGTACTATGACAGAGAAGTCGCTCCAGCATCGGGTAGGTTACGTATGTGTTGTCACGGTAACAGTTTTGCTGGGATCTCTATGGTCCAGAGGTCGCGACCTCCCGGAGCTCTCAGTGGGGCCTTCAGCCAGCGAGGGTTGGACAGGTTAGTCAGGTGCTTCTCCTGCAGACCAATCAGCACGGCAGACTGCTCCAGGCACTGTAGGTCCTTCCCCTGGAGGGAGGCGGGGCAAAGCCAGGTCCGGCCCACATCCACCAATCCTAAAAGAGACCACAGGGTTCGTTCGGGGATGTGTAAATGTGGCAGAGTAAGCAGTGATTCTAACCTGCCACCACGCCGCGGCCGAACCGCTCCCCGGACTCCAGAAGCGCCTCGATCTGAGCTCCGTCCATCCCCAGCAGGCCGCTTAGCACCGCCCTCCACTCCGACCCCTCCCAGTCACGCTGAGCCACGTGGACCGCCAGCGTCTGGTTCTCCAGTGGAGCGAGCAGCGGCCTCCAGCGGCTCTCCACCGTCTTCACCCCGTCCAGAACCAGGCCGGCATACGGCTGCCGGAACGACAGGCACGGCACCTGCACCGCCATGTCTGCAAAACAAACGCACCCGAACAGGACGCACTTTTAATACGTATGAAACATTTTCAGTTTTGTTTTTTTTTTAGCCCCTTTTGCATTAGTGCCTGCTCGACTCGCCACAACTCGACTCCACTGGGTTTCCACTATAACCAGTACCATCTAATATAGGTGCTCGTTGTTATAGCAACGTGTAATCTTAATTAAAATGTGACACGAATGCGGGGGCGTTGTTTCTTGGAGCAAACCGTCCTAGCGTACATTCCTGCCGTCACACAATAGTTCCAGCATAAATTTAAATAGAAAGGACGGGTCGCCACTTAATTTTGTGTTGTGCACATGCGCAGAAACAACAGGTAGGATGGTTTGTGAAGTCGGATGGATTCCCAGAACACATTTCTCTCGTTTTTTGTGAAGTAGATGTTCTCATGACCTATCGAGTGACGCCACTGACCAGCCAATCAGTGGCATGCAGTCCGATGACGCCATAGTTTAATACCTGCTCGGATCGCTTGGATTCCGTCCGAGCAGGTACTAAAACAGTACCAGGAACTGTGACCGAATGTAAAACCCTGAAAGCCGAGCAGGTACAAATGGGAAAGGGGCTGCAGTGCAACGTGAGGCGGTTCCGGGCGGTAACTGGAGCTGAGCCGCTGGTTCCGCCTTCACCACAAAGGTCTCTCCGTACAGCAGCAGAGACTCACTCGAGCAGGAAGCCGCTGGTTAGCAGAGAGTTGGTCGCTTCTTCTCGGCTGTGTGTGTGTTTGTCGGTGACGGCGTGACCTTTAACCCGGCGGTGCTCAAACAGAAATGCCGCTCCGCTCCCGCTGATTTTTCTCACTTTCCGCTCTGGCGGCTGCTCTTTTTCTCTGTGGGAAATAACTGCAGTGCTGGACTCTCCTGCCCCCACAGGAAGAACTGAGACGAGTATATAAATGGATGTAAATGTGACTCTTCCTCATTATCAAAGCTTTGCATTAAAACTTTAACAGTACAAAAACATTCCTCTGTCTCGATGCATGCCCGATGATCCAGGTAAGGCTGAAATGACGAAGCAGATCCACCAATGAAAACTCGGCGTCCAGGTGAACAGAATCAAAAGTGTGAAAAGGTGTACACTGCACCCGTTTTAAACAACACACCTGATGTCATCATCAGGCTGAAACCAGCGTCGCTCGCTGTAACGATGACTTCAGCAGAAACTGTGGGCGTGTTCCTCACTGAGATACGTGACCATGATCAGAGCTGTTCCACCTCTCCAAACTCCAAGGAAAGGAGCTTCAGTGCTCCCTTTAGAGTAGGATACACCAAAGCATCCTTGACGAAAGGAGAGGCGAAAACGCCATCCCATAATTCACAGCGACGGACCATCCGACCAAAGCAGAGCAGATCATGTAAACGTTCATCATAACGTTCCATTTTCCATTTCAGCCATAAGCTGCTGATGTATTTCTAGTTTTATCAGCAGCTGAACCCTGAACGTCACACTGCTGGAATACAAACTACTTCCTGTTGAGTTGTTCCTGCATGAAGAGCGTTCATTAGTAATGACCTTTGTTGTGTTACAGTCTGTTTACTTCAGGTCAGCTGGGATCAGTGATGATGGAGGAATTTTACAGGGAACGACCTCCACAGCAGGAAGATATAAGAACATGGTATGGATTTCATTTTATAGTTGTAATTTATATACAGAGATGCAGCCAGTTGGCTTCAGTAAGAATCAGCAGAGAGAATATGTGACTCAAAAACACAGAAGAGCCTACTAACCAAACATGTGAGCTCATGTTCAGGAGAATCAGTCTGATAGAAGAAATACCTCTGAGCACCGTGCAAAGGTCTCAGGATCAGGACTCGGGTGGAGCTCCGATTTATCCCGAGGAGAGCTGCATCGTTACAAACTGAACTCTGTTACTATGGTTACTGTGGCACACGCATGAATGTGTGCAGCACTTCTTAGTTTGAATAGCACAGTGCAATATTGAGACATTAATGTGACGCACTGGCAGATTTCGTGCAGTTTGCAGTAAACTGTGTGACAGAGGCGACGTTTAAAAATCTCTCCAGGCAGTGAAACAAACACGTGCACAAAGTGCTGCTGCTCACAGCTGTCAGCACAGACTCTGTTTGTCTCTGTGACGGCAGTAAATCGGACCCTAAATGTTCCTCCGGCTTTAAAATTCCCGCCTCTGTGGTGCAGGATATTTACACAGGCTGTTCTCGTTCATATGACCTCCACCAAACAACCGAACACGCTGAGACAGAGTACGATGCGCGTTTGTAGTTTCAACACGGCGGACATCCTCACACCGTCAAGGAGAGAGAGTGAGGTCGTTCCACTTCTCTTTTCCTAAGTCCTCAGCAGGAGGTGAGGAAAGGAGACAGAGGTATGGTGAGGTAACGCGTTCCTGCTGTATTTTACTTGCATATTTGAAAGAGTGAACGTAAACACAAATATTGTTATTTTATATGCAGGAAATAGGTTTAAATGTTAAACACATTTCAAGTCAAAGACCGTTGCATATAATGTAATTTTTCCTTGATGCATAAAGTTAAAAGATTAAAACGAATAAAACAAGTTTTAAAAAGAGACTTTAAATATTTAATGATTGAAATAAATCACAAAAATCAACTCTTGATTTTATCTACAACTTTTGTTCTATTTTCAGTTTTTTTCACCCACATGCAGGTCACAGAAGCACGGCACGAACAGCCAATCACACGTGGTACAGGACAGGGAGGACACGCCCCCTCTCCACAGCAGCAGGGACGATTATGCATGATGTCAGTAGTTACTATGACGTCATCACATTGCATCTCACACTGTAGAACAAGATGCATCATAACAGAAATATAAAAACTAAAGCAACAAATATAAAGAATATGAAGAATAAAATATAAACAAAATAAAATGTAAAAACAAAAATATTAAAAACTGAAAATGTATTTTTAAAAGTTCTGATAAATTGAAAATGATGACATTTGATGTCCAAGCAGCAAAGTGATACATAAATAAACTTTCATCACGAACACAGATGGTCGGCGTCCTGAGGGGGGCGCTGTGCCAAGGGTTCATTTTCTGAGGACCGTCTGTTAAACCTGCTGCTGTCAATAAAGTTTCTGCGTGTCACCATCAGCAGGTTCAGAAAACACCATTGGATGCCACGCTGACTCATTAACATCAAACAGGAAAACAAGAAAGAAGCTTCGGCTCTCTGACGAATCACTTCCTGTCAGGCGCACTCGTCCTCCTCCTTAGTCGGACCACTCCTGGTCCTCAGGCTCAGACTCCTCCTCTGATTCGCTGTATTCCACGGCAATACGTCGTGACAAGATGGTGGCAACGTCGTTTCCTGTCGGCTCTCGTTTCTTGGCCTCTTCCTGCTCGCGCTGCTCCTGAACCTTCCTCAGCTGGATCCCTGCAGACACGAGACACTGCATCAACACGCAGGACCACGCCAATCCACACCAGATCACACACACATCTGTCGGACCACACCCACCAGGTCACCCTGGCCACACCCGCCCACACCAGACGAGCATCACCCAGTGACCACCTCTATAATCTGTGAACTGTCTGCGTCCTGACTGACCTCTGCGGATAGCGGCGAGGAGGTCACTGCGGGCGTCATTCATTGGCACGTTCAGTCCAGCGGCTGGCTTCCTGCCATCTGCCGCCGGGGGCACCGGGGGCGCAGCAGCAGAGGAGGGAGCTTGGCCGCTAGGACGGGAGGGGGAGGGGATGTAGTTAGCTGGGGGTGGTGGTGGAGGGGAGGGGCTATAGGGGTGGGGCTGGGCAGCAGTGCCACCTGTGGATAGAAAAGAGCAGGAGCTCCTGATTTCACGTGGACACGCAAAAGCGCCATCAGAAACCAAAAAATAGCTGGGTGCTTGTTACCTTGGTTACCAGGCACAGCTGCAGGGTGCAATGGTGTTGCCATAGCAGCAGTGTGGATGGAGCTGTTTGGAAACACCACCTGTCCTGCTGATGGCATGAGAGGGGGAGGCGGTGGAGGGGCCGGAGGGATTTGATGATCACTGGGGAGGGATGGAGGTCAAAGGTCAAACATGTATATGTGCATAATGATAGCGATTATAATTTGAACGTATGTGTGTGTGTACTTGGCTTGCTTTGCCATGTTGGAACGTGCTCCGTTCTGATTGGCTGGGCCAGTGAGCGGCTGTGGGCGATGGTGATGCTGATGCGGCTGGTTGCGGCCCAGTGAGTGCTGCCGAGCGGTTGCCGCGGATACTGCGGAGGTGGGTCTGAGGGCACGGTCCAATGACTGAGTTTGCCCAGACCCACTGGTCGCCATGTCAGCATGATCTTTTCTATCACGCCCATCGTGGTGAGGACTGACCGGGAAGGAGAGGTCATCTGACATCCCTGACCTTTGGGGGAGGAGTTAAAGTTCTGATGTCAGCTTATTGGACTGGGAAGTAGGTGTGAACATGCAGGTGTTTACCTGTCGGGTGACACTGAGCCGTCAGATGTATGGTGAGGTGATGGCGTGACTCGAGCATCTGGGCGGAGCTCCTTGTCATAAGCCATCAGGTTCCACTCCTGCCGCCTGTTTCGCGCTTTCCGGACCTTCCCAAGAGAAACAGTAATGACAAGTAATGAGATTTAATGAAAGTTCACAAACTTATCAAAACATGCGACTTAACAAGTTTTAACCAAACACAAATGATTTCACCTTCTTCACCTCCCGCCCTGAGGACTCCTCCACATGTCTCTGCTCCTAGAAATAAATGAGCAGTTAAAGCAGCACCTTATCTTCACATACATGGATG